GCCCAGAATTTCATATCCAGCCAAACTAAGCTTCACAACTGAAGGAAAAATAAAATCTTTTATGAACAAGCAAGAACTCAGAGATTTTATTACCACCAGGCCTGCTTTACAAGAGCTTCTGAAAGAAGCATTACACACAGAAAGAAACAACCAGTATTAGCCTTTCTAAAAATACACCAAAAAGTAAAGAGCACCAACATAAAGAAGAATTTACACCAACAAATGGATAAAACAGCCAGTCAACATCAAATGGCAGTAACCCTAAATTTAAATTGACTGAATTCCCAATCAAAAGACACAGCCAAAACCCAAAGGCATGTTACATCCAGACCTGTTTCACATGCAAGGATACACAAAGACTCAAAACAAAGGGATGGAGAAAGATTTACCAACCAAATGGAGAGCAAAAATAAATAATAAATAAATAAAAAGCAGGAGTTGCAATTCTCGTATCAGATAAAATAGATTTTAAAGCAACAAAGATATAGTGGTAAAAGGATCAATGCAACAATAAGAGCTAACGATCCTAACACCCAGATAGGAGACTTAGATTCAATGAGACAGAAAATTAATAAGGATATCAAGGACTCGAACTCAGATCCAGAACAAGTAAACTTAATAAATATTTATAGAGCTCTCCACTTCAAATACACAAAATATCCATTCTTGTCAATACCACATCACACCTACCCATTAGTTTAAATGAAACATTGATTGGCCATTATTAATACCCAATTTTTTTCAAAATAAAGCAATATTTCCATTTACTCTCCCTCTTTCTCTTCCTCTTTCTTCCTCTCCTTTACTTATTTTTTTTTTTTCTTTCCTTCTCTCAAAAAAAAAGAAATCAAATTGTAAACCTCTAGATCCAGGTCGGCAATGTCTCTTTCATTGCTTGATTTCCTTTCTTCCCTTCCCTCCCTCCCTCCCTCCCTCCCTCCCTCCCTCCCTCCCCGCTTCCTCCCTTCCTTCCTTCCTTCATCCCTTCCTTCCTCCCTACTGTCCTTCTTCCCTTCCTTCCTGCCTTCCTCCCCCCCCCCAAAAAAAAAAAAAAAAAAAAAAGAAAGAAAATAAAAAAAGAAAGAGAAAAAGTCTGTTTCTCCCCCTACTCTTCTCCCACCTTGGATTTCTTTTCATTTATTTTATTGTTCAGGACTTCCAACCTTATGTTGATCATTAATTCAGTTAATGGTGGCTGACATCCTTGTCTCCTTGACTTTTAAAATGTTTCAGGTTTCCTATTACTGAATTTTAATGCTAAATAAATGTTGAAATACATCAAATGCTTTTATTGCAACCGCCATCCCAATTAGATAAGCTTGAGGAGAGTGAAAAATAATGAGATTTGTCCTTAATCCATTAATATATAAATTATACTACAAGATTTTTCACTTTAGAGCCATTTTTTACAACCCTGAATTCACCCATAATCAACCATGACAAATACACACACCTGTATATCTTTATCTAATCTACCTATATGCCTTTATATGTATATACATATATGCACAGAGAGAGAGAGAGAGAGAAAAATTTTTTTTCAGAATAAACAATTTATTAGTTGGTCATCAATAAATGCCCCGGGTTTGGCACCAAGTACTTTCTTTTTTTGTTTTTGTTTTTTTTAATTTTACTTTAGAATCTGGGGTACATGTGCAGGTCATGCAGGGTTGCTGCACAGGTGCATGCTATATCTGGTGTTATCATCCCCACCCTTCCCACCCCCTGCTGTCCCTCCCCTAGTCCCCCCCCAACGGCTCCCAGTGTGTGATGCTTCTCTCCCTGAGTCCATGTGTTCTCATTGTTCAACATCTGCCTATGAGTGAGAACATGCAGTTTGGTTTTCTGTTCTTGTGTCAGTTTGCTGAGAATGATGGTTTCCAGATTCAAGCAAGTCCCTACAAAGGACACGAACTCATCGTTTTTTATGGCTGTGTAGTATTCCATGGTGTATATGTGCCACATTTTCTTTGTCCAGTCTATCATTGATGAGCATTTAGGTTGGTTCCAGGTCTTTGCTATTGTAAACAGGGCTGCTACAAACATACATGTGCATGTGTCTTCATAGTGGAAAGATTTATAGTTCTTTGGGCACATACCCAGTAATGGGATTGCTGGGTCAAATGGAATTTCTATTTCTAGATCATTGAGGAATCACCACACTGTCTTCCACAATGGTTGCACTAATTTACACTCCCACCAACTGTGTAAAAGTGTTCCTATTTCTCCACATCCTCTCCAGCATCTGCTCTCTCCAGATTTTTTATGATCACCATTCTAACTGGCATGAGATGGTATCTCAATGTGGTTTTGATTTGCATTTCTCTAATGACCAGTGACGATGAGCATTTCTTTCATATGTTTGTTGGCCTCATATACATCTTCTTTTGAAAAGTATCTGTTCATATCCTTTGCCCACTTTTGAATGGGGTTGCTTTTTTCTTGTATATCTGTTTTAGTTATTTGTAGATTTTGGATATTAGCCCTTTGTCAGATGGGTAGATTGCAGAAATTTTTTCCCGTTCTATTGGTTGCCAGTTCACTCTAATGATGGTTTCTTTTGCTGCACAGAAGCTCTGGAGTTTAATTAGATCCCATTTGTCTATCTTGGCTTTTGTTGTCATTGCTTTCAGTGTTTTAGTCATGAAGTCCTTGCCTATGCCTATGTCCTGGGTAGTTTTCCTATGTTTTCTTCTAGTGTTTTTATGGTGTTAGGTTTATGTTTAAATCTTTAATCCAACTGGAGTTAATTTTAGTGTAAGGTGACAGGAAGGGGTCCAGTTTCTGCTTTCTGCACATTGCTAGCCAGTTTTCCCAACACCATTTATTAAACATGGAGTCCTTTCCCCATTGCTTATTTTTGTCAGGTTTGTCAAAGATCAGATGGTTGTAGTTGTGTGGTGTTACTTCTGAGGCCTCTGTTCTGTTCCACTGGTCTATGGCTCTGTTTTTCTACCAGTACCAAGCTGTTTTGATTACTGTAGCCTTGTAGTATTGTTTGAAGTCAGGTAGTATGATGCCTCCAGCTTTGTTCTTTTTGCTTAGGATTGTCTTGGCTATGTGGGCTCTCTTTTGGTTCCATATGAAGTTTAAGGTGGTTTTTTCCAGTTCTGTGAAGAGGGTCATTGGTAGCTTGATGGGGATAGCGCTGAATCTATAAATTACCATGGGCAGTATGGCCATTTTCACAATATTGATTCTTCCTAACCATGAGCATGGAATGTTTTTCCATCTGTTTGTGTCCGAGAGAGAGAGAATTTAAAAGTCATGTCCATGAGTAAAATGGGCCTGTACTTTTCTTGTATCACACTTATCTAGTTTCAGTATAAAATATATTCCTACGTCGTAAAATTGATTGGATTATTTTTCCTGGTTATATAAGTTAGGGATATCTGTACTTTCCCGTAAAAGCATCTCAGCCTGTGACTTGTAGAGGTGGGGAAAATGGAAAAAGGTTTATCATCATGATTATATTCTTATTCTTAGTGTTAATTATATATTTCATAATTATTTTCTATTTTTTATTCCCTATTGTAAGTTTTTAATATTTTCCAGAGATATGTAAAAAGGTTCTTTTGAAGGCTTTTGTGTATTTTCATTTCTATGTCTTAATTGGCATTGCTAATGATTTGTCTTTTGGCTTCGCCAAAGTTTTTTCAAAACTTCAACTTGGATTCTGTTCATCTTTTTTAAACGATATCTCATTGTCTTGTTTCTCCTCTCTTTTGGCTTACTCTGCCACTTTGTTACCAATCACAAGGGTTTTACTTTGTTACCAATTACAAGGGTTTTATTTATTGCCTGATGCTGGGGTGCAGTGCAGCCAGGCCTGAATTTTTTAAAAGCTTTATATGTGTTCTAAAGTGTGAGAGGGGTTGACAACTACTGGTCTATAAGCCTTCTTCTCAAATCTATCTGATACTAAGATTGCTTTTGAGGCTTTTGGAGAGCATATGCTCCTGGACGACATAATTTAATAATTACGACTCATTTGATCTAGACTGTAGCCTGTGAGTCCATATTTTTTAAAAGCTTGGCAGGTATTTCTGACTACCACCAAGATTTGAAAATCACTGAATTCGAGTGCCTAGAAAACAGTGTACAGTGCCAAAAGTATAAGTGACCTCTGAGGCTGTAGTGATTTCTAAGGTAGAAGTTAAGAGATGTTTAAATGGATTGGGGGAATTTGGGGATACCCAGCAATACAGGAAGAGAGGAAAGTATTGGTAAAGAGCAAGAGCTGAAAAACAGGAAGTTCAGCTCCTAAAAAAAAAAAAGAAGTCTTATCAAGACATCAAAAGCAAGGGAGGGAGTAGCAAGAACTAAAGTTAAAAATAGGCCACAGACAAAGCTATATTACAAACGGACTTTTACCCAAGGGTTACAAGAGGCCATTGAAGGGGTTTAAACAGGGAGGTGCTGCTGGTTTAGCTATAGAAGAGGAAATTAAATGGAGAGAAAGCAGGACTGACTTCCTTGAAGTCTGAAGACAGTCATCTAATCCAGGAGATAAATGACAGTGACTTGAACTATGATACAATTGGAGAGGAAAAGACTATTAGTGATGGGTAAAAGATATGGATGTTACTGGATGTAAGGCATGTATGAAAAGAAGGAGTAAACTTATCATCACCAATTTATTGCTCATAAGTATTCTGTTATGAGCTATATATTTTGCATTGAATATATTTATCTACAGTTGTTCAGACATTCTCTAAAATATTGAGGTAAAGATGTAAATGTTTATATTTTATTCAAAATTGTCATATTTTAAATAATATTGATAATAATATATAATATATCATAATAATAATGACATCTCCTTTCCTTGTTTCTCTTCTCTTTCGATTTACTCTGCCACTTTGTTACAAAATATTCAGTTTGGTAACAAATTGAATTCAATTATACAAATATTCACTGTAAACACATATTTAAACTCATAATAAGTGAAAATGACTAGACAGGTTAATTTCATAGTAGATCACAATCCTTGTCATTTCAGCTTTGGTCTGCTCTAAACTTATCTATCTCCTTCCATTACTGGAACAACTCCACAAACTCCTTATTCCCTAAAACACCACTGATACCGTTAAAGTCACTAACAGAGACTGAACTGAGAATAAAGGAAATCATGGAGAAACTAGACCAGCAGATCCCACCCAGACCTTTTGACCACGTGAACACCACCACCAGTGCCGCACACAGCACAGCCAGCATCCTCAACCCTCGAGACACGTACTGCAGGGGGGACCAGCTGGACATCCTGCTGGAGATGAGGGACCACTTGGGACACAGGAAGCAATATGGCGGAGATTTCCTGAGGGCCAGGATGTCCTCCCCAGCCCTGATGGCAGGTGCTTCGGGAAAGGTGACTGACTTCAACAACGGCACCTACCTGATCAGCTTCACTCTGTTCTGGGAGGGTCAGGTCTCCCTGTCTCTGCTGCTCATCCACCCCAGTGAAGGAGTGTCAGCTCTCTGGAGGGCAAGGAACCAAGGCTATAATAAAATTATTTTCAGAGGTAAATTTGTTAATGGCACCTCTCATGTCTTCACTGAATGTGGCCTGACCCTAAACTCAAGTGCTGAACTCTGTGAATATCTGGATAACAGAGACCAAGAAGCCTTCTACTGTGTGAAGCCCCAACACATGCCCTGTGAGGCTCTGACCCACATGACCACCCAGAATAGAGAAGTGTCTTATCTTACTGACAGGGAAAACAGCCTTTTCCACAGGTGAGTATGCTTTTCGAGTATATGAGAAGTGTCTCACTGAGAAGTGCCCCAGTCAGAGCTGCATTGCCCATTGCAACACTGAGCATGACTCTCAGAGGCCTCTACTCAAGGTCAGACATGTGGTGTCTTCACAGGGCCTCTACTCACCACTCTGTGCCAAACTTTGCATTTTCACTATATTGTCCCATCAGTCATGTGTTTTGCTATAACTATTTTTCTATGTATTCACAGATGTTCCATTGAAAAAAGATTCCTTGATAAGTGAATGATAACATCTATGTTCCTTCACCTCCCATAATTAATTTTAATTTTGCCTCTTAAATATCTTTGCATTGATCCATTTTCCCCCATGTACAGTGCTGCTATTCAAGTTCAGACCATCATCATCTCATCTAGATCACTTATACCAGCTTCCCATCTGGTCTCTCTCCCAGCAGTCACCCTCTCTAATCCATTTTCTACACTGAGTAATCTTCCACAAAAGCCAATTCCTACTGGTTATCTCCAGCTGATCCCATGATCAGATATTCCTCAGTATATATCTCTTAGGGTAGAGGAGTCCTTCTTACTCCCCATGTTGTGACCTAGTGATCCCTGTGAACCCCTGGTTCAACAGCCCTCCACAAACTGGGTGGAGGCACATTTTCTCTATCAATCACAGCTGCAGCAATGCCAGGCTTTTCTCTCCCAGTTCACAAACAGATGCTCACTTCCTGGTTTTCCTGTTCTCCATTAAGCTGAAAACCACTTTGTAGATTAGAACGAATCATCAGTAGTGACTCTTCATGGGCCACTTTGAGGATTATCTGTTATCATAAATCCCAGAACTGTGAGCCAAGCCATAAGACATCTATCAGTTGCAGAGACTTTTGCTCATTTGCTAACTTTACATAAGTCTCAGAGGCTCAGTCCATATCCTTTTCTCTTTCAATTCTGCCCAGTACCCTTTTTTTCCCACAAAGATTTACTTTTCCTAAGATTAGTGACAAAGTAGAATGCTAGGTTCAGAGCAGTCCCTTTCTAGCAGTTTTCAAAGTCAAGTTTAGAGTCTTTTTTCCATAAGCTTTCAAAAAAAATATGGTAAGAGGAAATAAGAGTGGGCACCAAACATGACAAAATAACATGCATTCCAGAATCTTACCTCATTATCCAAGTTTTGGCTCCTGATCTATAGTCCCTGGATCCCTTCTGAAAAGTAAAAGCACAGTTTAGTTTCTGTTCCTCTCCTTTTATCTCTGATGGTTCAGCTCATCAAATCTCTTCCTACCCATCAACCACCCTTATGCCTAAATCCTAGTAAGGATGAAAACATGCTGATCTTTTCTCTTCTCGGGATGGTGCCCGAAGAGACATCCATAGCAGGGAATCAGGTACCACTTATATCTGTTATAGTTGGCACCTGGGTCCCCATTCTCCCCTTAATCCCTTTCTTCCTTCCTCCACTTACATGGCCATATACACAGGTTTGAAACAAAGTATGAGTAAGAGCTTTCAAGTAGGAAGACTCATCTTTCATCAGTTGGAGGAAAGAAATGTAAGGTACAATGATTAACACATCAGATTCAACACTACTTTCTGCCAGCCACTTTGATAGATATTAAGGATACAGCAGTGGACCAGACCTATGCATTACCTTCCTTCCTAAAGCTTACTATCTTCAGAAAGCAAGTTTGTCGAAAAAGTCAAAGATAATCATAGCAGGAAATGTGGATTAAAAAGGGAAGCAGAGGCCCTCTGATAAAAGGTCTACATGCCACTCGAAAAGGCTGGATTCCTTGGGTACATGATGGGGAGACAATAAAGGGATGTAAGCAGTAGTGCAGTTGCGTTTGCAATGAGAAAGGGTACTCTGCCAGTCAGATTGAAAAATTTAGGTGGGATAAAACTGAGGCTTGCATGACCAATTAGAAGCCCACAGTAATTCAGGGAAACTATTCTGCAAACTGGACTAGGAGATATGGAAGCAGAAAGACAGAAGAGAACTTGTAAATTCAATAAATATTTTGAACCTAAAATTCCAGGACACACTGATTCCATGTGGCAGATCAGTAGAGCTGCCCTGGACTTCAGGTGCTCTCAGCAGGGTAGAAAGTCTTCCAAATTCCTCATTCATTTACAATACTCAATATATCTAAAATTTACAACAATAATAATAGCTTCTGGTTATAGGAAATTAAAATTTTTCCTTCACTCACAAGTAGGTGAGTCACCTGTGTTACATGGGGGAGAGAGCAGGCTAATTTATTGTTCTATTTTTTTTTTGAAGGTCCAAAGTAGGAGTTGAAATTATGAAGGACGGTAAACACATTGATGTCGCCAAATGTAACAGTAAGTCTGCTCTGTCCTGAGTTAGGTGATGCTCAGAGGAAATTTTATCAGCATCAACTGAAGTAATTGTAGTTTTCCTGGAGCACAATTCCTAGCAGGTGTCTGTGATGTCAATCATGCTGGACTTTAAAGGGAGAAATTAAGTCAAATGATTTCAAAATTTTTATGGGAGATTTCATCTTGACATATCCAAAAGGAAAGAGTGTTATTATCCTACATTTATATTTAAACCTGAGAGTTCATCTCCTAGAGTCTAAGGCACTGTCCAAATGTCTTTGAAGGATCAATCCCTACAGCTTCAGAGTAGGAAAACTTCCGATTTTGGTTTCCTAACTCTCTATTGGCAAAACCTCCTAACATTTAGTTGATGCAATTACCAATGTTCTGTGGAGTTTTTAACTCATTATGTTTTCAAGACAAACACATGTTACTGATGAAAGAGTATTTAGGCTACCTTAGCTTTAAAATAACTTTTATAAAGTCTTAGTTTACCCATAACGTCCATCATGATATTTACTTCAACTCATAATAATCTATTGCCACCATTTATTCATTTATTCTGCAAACATTTATTTATTTATTTTTCCTCACATCATATGGGTAATGTGCTGACGTCATAACATGGTGTGAGGGAGGCATATCTCACACATGAGCATGAAAACCCAGTCATCATGCTTCTGAACTACAAAAGGATCAGCAAACATTTATCAAGCATTGCACAGATATCAGGCATTATGGACAAATGGAGACACATAAATGCTCAGTTAGCTTGCATTGTGAAATGCATTCAACATACCAACTTATGAGGAAAGCAAAAAGGCAAAGGAGCTTATGTTAAACTTGGTATTTGACTGAGTCCTGAAGGATATGTGTAGTCAGAAGATGAAGAAGAGAAACCTCACAAAGAGCATGGGTAGTGCTGCTGGATTTAAGTAAATAAAAATAAAGGGAATCAAGTGAATTTGAGTAATTTCTAATTGCCTGTCATATATACATTGAGAAAAGGGGGAAATAGTGCATGAAGTAATACAAGTTTAATATGGTGTCCTGTATTTTTTATCTAACTCTTTTTATCTGGTAATTCCAGTCATGAGCAAAGTCATCATGGACTTTATTGTGGAATGTAGCAGAGGATAAGCCTAGAAAGAGAGAAAGAACCTAATCATGAAGGTTCTCAAGTACCAGGCCAAGGATCTCAGAGATTATTCAGTAGACTTGAAAGCCACAGAAACCAACTGAGGAAGAGAGTGGTATGATCCACTTTGTGCTTTAAAATGTAAATTCGCAATTTAACAAAATGCATGCTCTATAGAAAGGCAATTTAACATGTCACTAAGGAATATAAAATAAAATTCATATAAATAGAAGGAAAAAATGCTGTCTCTGGATGGGATAACCTTATATTTAAAAGAACATCAGTTATCTATGGATCATTTTCTTATTGCTGCTATAATAAAGTGGTTTTAAAAAGCAAAAATATATCATCTTATAGTCTGTAGCCCAGAAGTCCAACATCAGTCTCATTGAGCTGAGCCAAGGGAGAGCAGGAACATGTTCCTTCCTGGAGGCTCTAGGGGTGAATCTGTTCCTTTGCTTATTCCAGGTTCTTAGGGCTTCCCACAGTCCTTGTAGCCCTCTTCCTCTATCTTCAAAGTCACAGCAGAGGGTCAAGTTCTCCTGTCACATCTTTGATCCACTCTTCTGCCTCCCTCTTCCACTTTTGAGTACCAGTGACATTAGATTGGGCCTACCCACATAATCCAGGATAATGTCTCCATCTCAAAGTCCATACCTTAGTCATATCTGGAAAGTCCCTTTTGCCATGGAAGGCAACATATTCATAGGTTTTAAGAATTGGGGGCCGGGGCCGGGCGCGGTGGCTCAAGCCTGTAATCCCAGCACTTTGGGAGGCCAAGGCGGGTGGATCACGAGGTCAACAGATCGAGACCATCCTGGTCAACAAGGTGAAACCCCGTCTCTACTAAAAATACAAAAAATTAGCTGGGCATGGTGGTGCATGCCTGTAATCCCAGCTACTCAGGAGGCTGAGGCAGGAGAATTGCCTGAACCCAGGAGGTGGAGGTTACAGTGAGCCGAGATCGCACCATTGCACTCCAGCCTGGGTAACAAGAGCAAAACTCCATCTCAAAAAAAAAAAAAAAAGAATTGGGGATGTGGATATCTTTGGGAGACTATTAGTTTGCCTATCTAATCAAAAATATAATGGAATCTGTTTTTCAATGGGCAGGTCTATGCAAACCTACTCCCAAAGTTTGAGGAAGCTGAGAAGCCAAAGAAGAGGCTGACACATCCAGTTTCTCAGAAAGAAACATTTAATAGGGACTTAGAAGCAGAGGTTATGTTTATGTCTCCATTGGTGAGACAAGATGGTGGATCTCCACACCATTACTGCCAGACCCAGGGCTTACAGAGCACAAGGGAAGGGTGGTTCGGGTGGGATGTACAGGACAATTGAAGTAAAATGCCAGCAAATCTTGCCTTGTTGGTCTAAGGGCAAGATTTACAGTAATTTCCTGCTGTTATGCAAGAAACAATAGATAAACTGGAGTTAATCAGAAGCCAACATGGCAAATTAACTTCTAAAATGGAGTTGCTTTTGCCTGATATATAGGATCCTGATATTATTACCCACATACTCCTCAAAATACTCAAGCCTGTTCTAAAATTATCAAATAAAATAAACATATAAGAGTAATCATAAGCAAATTTGTTGTAAGTTTGAAATAGGGCTTCAGAGACTTTGAGACATGGCAACCTGAATACCCTGACTCATAAAGATTACACAAGATATGGCTTACAACCATAAACTTAGAGGCTATGTTCTCAGCAAAGTCCGCCAGTATATTATTAGGATAAAGAATACTTAACACTGAATCTCAAGTTTCCAGGGTCATGGTATTCAGTCATCCAGGGTGCAATGCCATCAAGCCTCATAGAAATCCATCCACATCACACTGTAATTCTAACATAATTATAGGATTATACAAACTCCCTTTACTAAGCCAAATCACCACGACTTAGGAGCCATTTCAGATGCACTTTCCAGTTCTGCCACCAGCACCATTTTACCACTTTGTCCACAGGTTACAAATACAATACAATCATGTGGCGATGTACTATTCTGTGAACACAGGCAGCCAGGGACAATAAGGCCATTGAGGAACTAAGCAAAGAGAGTACAACAGAGACTGCTGATGGTTCCCCAGTATCCACTGCCTCCTCCTTCTTCAGTAATAGAAACCAGTTTGTGGCTAGACCCATGGCCATCCTTCCTTATAGCTAGTTGTGGCCATAAGTAAATTTTTTCCAGAAGTGTGAGTGGGAAACTTCTAGGTCATGCTTTAAAAGCAAAACAACTAGCCCTCCCTATCCATTTCTTCCTTTACTACTAGCTGAACTTTAGATATAATGTGAGAAGGGAAAGAGCCAGGTTAGATCGAAGCCACGTGGTAAGAATGGCAGAGCTATAACACAGAAGGAACAGGTGTCCCTGACACCACGCAATAGTGTATTAGCCCTGGCCTTCTCACTCCAGGCCTGTTAAGTGAGACAGAAATAAACTTCTATTTTTAAATTCATTATTACCTTGGTCTTTCCTACAGCATTCAAATCGGTTTCCTATCTCACACCAGAACATAGTATCAGTACAGAAGTCCTGATGTAGCAAATTCTAAAATTCAAGGCACTGGCTCAGTGATGGGGCAGCAGCATAGAGAGTGGCAAAGAAACACGACAGGAGGAATCTGATAACCTTCCTCATGACATAACAAGACATTTGCTGCACTGCTCCCTAAAAGAGAAGGCAGACCATGCACAAATAGAGCCTGAAACTCTAGTGAAACTTCCTTCAATATCTCAAAATATAGGTTTGTATTGAATGCTGCATGTTGCTTTTGGCAAAGTCTGATTTTCAATAAAGTAAGTCAAATTAGATAATTATGATACCATTTGAGGTTTTTATTTTTAATGTACATGTTTTAGGCCATTTTTTGAACATGGAAAAATTAAGATTATTCATTTCTTCATTAATGAAACAAAAGTAAAGAATTTGATACAGCAGCAGCAACTGGCAGACCACTAACATCATTCAGGTTAGAGACAAACACAGACATGGCTACAGAATCAGGAAGAAAGGATAGAACACCAAAGAAAGGGTGAAATGTCAAGACTTAGCTAATGACCAGATTTAGGGGAAAAGGAATAGGCAGGAGGCAAGATGACTCAAATTCTCTCAAAAGAGTAAGTAGACACGCCTGAAGCAAAGCTAATGATTAAAGAAATAGTACTAGAAACGGATAGAAATAGAAAACAGACATTACAGGAAGGGGGAAAGAGAGCCATAAAAGGAAGGACAACGCAAGAAGGCTAGATGTCTACCATACTACAATAAAATCATTTACAAGTGTCTCTGTTACCAGAGAGTGAAAAGATAGAAGAGAAATGCCAAGTTGGAATGAAGCCTCCTGTCCCTGGTGGTTACACTTTACGAGGAAGGTGGATAACAACATTTTGCAACCAGATTCAGTTTGACACAATTAAGATGAATGACTGTCTGAAAGGCAAACTCATCTACCTCCTGGGAGACTCTACGCTACGTCAGTGGATCTACCACTTACCCAAAGTTGTAAAAAGTGGGTAGTTACTTTATATTCTCTCCAAAATTCAGGCTGGTTTTAAAGTACTTTTAATGAGGTCTCTATTCTCTCGTTTGAGCTATTTTGTTTTTTACTTCATTTAGCTTTCTGGATTTGAGCCTTTAAATTTAAAGTGTATTTTATTCCCTCTTTCATAAGAGATGTTTGTCCTCTTTTAAAATTCCAATGAAAACCTTACATTTTTGATTCACATTTTACATGTATGAACTGGTACTCTACCCTAGAGAGTGGACTCCAGTGAGCAATTATTTAGGTGGGTGGGTACTTTAAATGATACGACATTCTTTTCCATGAATATTAACCATCATCTTCTATTTAAAACAACTATTTCTTTTTATCAGCATTGCAGTTTTTTGATCTTCATGAAACTGGACTTTTTAAGAAACATTTGCTTCTGGATGCAAAAAGACACACTCTGATTCAATGGAAAAAACATAGCCTTCCTTTCCTCACTTTCCAGCTCTACTCTCTAATAGATCATAATTATATCCCTCGGGAAATTGACCTGCTATCAGGTGACAAAAACACAGCTGTCGTCATCACCTTTGGCCAGCACTTCAGACCATTTCCCATTGATGTTTTTATTCGCAGGGCCATTGGTGTCCGAAAGGCTATTGAAAGACTGTTTCTAAGAAGCCAGACCACTAAAGTGATTATTAAGACAGAAAACATCAGGGAGATGCACATAGAGACAGAGCGGTATGGAGACTTCCATGGTTATATTCAATATCTTATCATGAAGGATATTTTCAAAGACCTCAACGTGGGCATCATTGATGCCTGGGACATGACCATTGCATATGGCACTAATAATGTCCACCCACCTGATCAGGTGATTGGAAATCAGATTAACATGTTCTTAAACTACATTTGCTAAGGGATAAATACCATACAAAATCACTAAGAACCAGTCTCTGCACATAACCCCACATGCATTGTGAAGTAAATTTTATTCATTTTAGGAACGAAGGAAAATAAATGTAAAAGAATCTGTTTGGGGAGGAAGGATATATAAGGACAATTACAACCAATATTGGATGCAAAATCAAGAGAATTGCACATGAAAAAATGACTATACCGTGCTGGTTCTGGTGCTTGTTTAAAACATTAAAAAAGTTTTATAAAAGCTATGTTGTTAAACTGATTTGAAAATATCTGTACAAATTCTTGATGCTTTCCATTTCCAATATAGATATTTTGTAGCTCTGTCTATTGAAAAGGCCTGGGAGCAATGATAACCCATTAGTAACAATCACTCTTAGCACCCTGACCATGGTCTCTAAGAACCCTTCCTCAGTAAAAGAAAACAGGTATTCTTGAAGAAAAGGCTGATCCCAGGACTGGAACAGAAAACATATATGCCATGAGCCTGGACATCTTGTTATGCCAAAAAGCGAATAATCAAGGACAAATGGAATCATATCACGGAACAGAGGAGGTAACCCAAAGGAATCTCTTCATTGGCCGTAGATAGATCAGTTTAAGCATCAAAAAGACTAATGACTGTAGTTAATTCAAATACATAGTATATAAAATCCATGAGCTCATAATAATACTAAAAGAGATATTCACGAATAAAAACAAAACCTCTCATGTGTCATAAGTGGAGCTGGGTAAATCCTTATTTTGAAAATTGGCAACAAAAGAGAAATACATGAACATTTATCCTCATTCCTGTTACAGAGAAAACCAATAACCGTAATAGATAAGGGAAAGTTTTTCTTTGTGGAAGAATTATAGCTAATGAATACAGAAAGAATGACAGAATTAGGAAATCACCATTTTAAAATTTCTAATTAGATAAGTAAGTAAGGCAGAGATTATCAGTGAATGAACTTTCCTTAAAAGTCTGATTGGAACTTTACTATGGATATAGCAGTCTGTCACTTCTGAATCCACTGATCAAACTTAGCTTTATTTACAGCTAGGCAACCTGTCATTATGTCCTGCATGATTTGATACAATGTAAAGTATATAACACCACCTATGAAGGAGTATTCCTGCAATGCTTTTTCCCCTAAATAATCTCATCCAATGGCTCCAAAAATTTATTTTCAGCTTTCCAGTCTAAGACCAACTTTACTTAAGACATTTCCACTTCCACTTGACAGACCTCAAATACATCACATTAATGCCAAAAGAAATATCTCCCCTCTACCAAATTTTCACCTCTTTCTGTGATTCCACTTCTTGATCAATGATATTAGTATCCACTTAGTTTTCAAAGCTGGAAAACCATATTTTGTTTAAATAAACAATTATTGTCCTCTACTCTGTGCCACATGCTTGTTAGCCAATTTTGATACAAAGGAATGGGGCAAAAAGACCATCATCCTTAATCTAATGGAGAAGACCAAGCAGGTAGATTCAAAGCAATGTAATATGACAAGAGTCAAGGCGTTACAGAAACACAGAAACAAACAAACAAAACCTGAACTCTAAGATTGAGAGATGCTGTGAAGTTTTATACAGGAAGTATTACCTGGACTCATTCATGAAGAATGAGAGAGTCAAGTTGACAAGAAGGAAGGAGAGGGAGAAGTAGGACAAACTTGTTGACAAAAGTCTCATTCAGGAAATGGCAAGAATTATGAACCCTTAGTGACAAAAAACAAATGCAGAGAGTTAATGAGAAGAAAGTGGGGAGGCAGCACCCAAATTATGAAAGATTTATACAACATGCTAAGGAATGTGGGCTTTCTCCTAAAAGTAATGGGGAGTGGTTAAAGAATCATAATACACACAGGACATGATAAGATTTGCCTCTCAGAAAGAGAAATGAGGCAAGATATTTAGAACTATGGCCAATGCAGCATAATGAAAACAATATGGAGATTGAAGTCAGACCTAGTTTTGAATTCCAGTGTCTTCATGTACCAACTCGGCCAATTTAGGAATTTAATCTCTGAACTTCAATTTCTTCAATATTAAATTCAAAGCATTAAATTAGATGATATATGGAAAACGTTACCTAGTTCTAGCACATGGCAATATTCAATAATTTTTCCCTTGAGACAGCTCAATGAGAAGTTTCCATGATATCTGCAAATTTGACACAAATAACTTGAAGGAGAACCCTAACATTCACTGAAGAAAATAAAGGGGAAGGAAGATATTGGGGAAAAGGGTAAAATGAATTTAGGTTTTAGTTATAATGAAGTGAAGGTTCCCATACAAATATCAAAATGCAGATGTCTTGTCGACAGAATGAGTCTGAATTCAGGAGAGAGGTCTGTAAGAAAGATGCTCAATTTGGAAGTCATCAATATATATAGGTGGCTGCTAAAGATGAAGATATGTAATATTTTCTCATACACAAAGGGAACTCTCATACACTCTTGGTGGGAATATAAGTTGGTACAGTCATTATGGAAAACAGTATGGCAGTTCCTCAAAAAATTAAAAATAGAACTACCATATGACCTGGCAATCCCTCTGCTGAGTATCCCAAAGGAAATGAAATCAGCACTTCATAGAATATCTGCATTCTCATGCTCAATGCAGCATTATTCATAATAGCAAAGATGTAGAAACAACATAAGTGGCCATCAATAGATGAACAGATAAATAATTGTGGTATATATGTACAATGGAATATCATTCAGCCTTATAAAAGGAGATGCTACTATACTTGCAATGACATGGGTGAACCTGGAGGACGTTATGCTAAGTAAAATAGCAATATTGAAGGAAAGAAATAATACTGAAAGAAAAATATTGCTTGGTCTCACTCATATATGAAACTTAAAAATTACACATAGAAACAGAGTGGAATGGTGGTTATCCAGGCTGGGAGGAAGAGAAAATGGGAAGATGTAGGTCAGAGGGTACAAACTTGCAGTTCTACTGGATGAATGTCTAGAGAGCTAATGTACCACATGAGGACTATAGTTAATACTGTATATGGAAAATGTGCTGAAATAATGGATTTTAGGTATTCTACCTCAATAAAAAAGGTAATTGTGCAGTGGGAAATATGTTAATTTCTTGACTATAGTGATCATTTCACTATGCATATGTATATCAACACATCACACTTGTACGCCTTAAATGTACGTGATTTAAAAAATACACACATAAAATTTCTTTTAAAAATATTCCACACACGAGACAAATATGTGTTCAAATACATCAGTCTCTCAAGCCTTTGCACCACTCTACATGCTGCTGCTTCTGACTAGAATGTCCTCCTGCCCCTCCTTCCACTTGTCAAACTCCCCATCACCCTTTAAAACCCAGTTTGAATTTTATTTCTTCTGTGAAGCTTTCCCTGACATCCCCAGAAAGAATAATGTTTCCTAGCCAGGCACAGTGGCTCACACCTCTAATCCCAGCATTTTGGGAGGTGGGTGGATCACCTGAGGTCAGGAGATCAAGACCAGCCAGGCTAGTCTTGAACTCCTGACCAACAAGGTGAAACCCCGTCTCTACTAAAAATACAAAAATTAACCAGGCATGGTGGCAGGTGCCTGTGGTCCCAGCTACTTGAGAGGCTGAGACAGGAGAATTGCCTGAATCTGGGAGGCGGAGGTTACAGTGAGCCGAGATCATGCCACTGCACTCCAGCCTAGGTGATGGAATGAGAGTCCATCTCAAAACAAAAACAAAAACAAAAAGAATGTTGTTAACATGCATGTCATTACTAATAAGAGTGGTTTGTTGGTATGCTAAACAGACTGTAAAAGCTGCCATTTTGCATGAGATTAACGAGGGCAATACTTCTTTATAGCATGAATGTGTAAATGTTCAAAATTTCACAGTAAACTCAAGAAATTAATTTCTAGTTCTCTCATCTTGTATCCAATGTAAGTGCAAATTAATTTCCATTGACCTGAGATCGATCCAAGATGGCCGACCACTAATAGCTCAGGATTGTAGCTCCCAGTGAAAGCTCAGAGAACGATACGACGCCACATCTTTAGACGAATTTTTGTCACTCACCGATTAGCCGATTCCCAGTGGCGCAGCAGCTCTTCATGCAGAGCCAACAGGACTGCTTCCCCTACTGACCGGAGTTTGGAGCTCCGGGAAGTCAGAGCCCCTTGTTGCGGACTCAAGAGGGAAGCCAGACCAGAGATTCCCGGGCAGAAGAGCACCATCGGTCTTACTGCTGCTATTTAGGCTGCCACAGTGGGTTGCTCGGATCCCAGCACTGGGAATCAATAAGTCGGAAGTCGACTCAGAAACCTAATTAGAAAGGCGGTTCATCTACAATGAAGGGAAAAAAACAGCCTAAGAAGGCCGAGTATATCCAAAATCAGAACCCATCAGCAACAGAACAAGCCCTGATGGAAAAGGACTCATCAGCAACCGAACAAGCCCTGATGGAAAAGGACTCATCAGCAACGGAACAAGCCCTGATGGAAAAGGACTCATCAGCAACCGAACAAGCCCTGATGGAAAAGGACTGTGTTCCATTATCTGAAGTAGGCTTTAAAAGGTGGATGATAAGAAACTTCCGGGAGTTAAAGGAACTTGTTCTAACCCAATGTAAAGAAACTAAGAACTTGGAAAAAAGTTCGATGAAATGTTGAAAAGAATAGACAATATAGAGAAGAATATAAATGAACTTATGGAGTTGAAAAATACAACACGAGAACTTAGTGAAATATATACAAGCTTAAACAGCCGAATGGATCAAGCAGAAGAAAGGGTATCAGAGGTCAAAGATCAACTTAATGAAACAAAACGACAAGACAAGAATAGAGAAAAAAGGATAAAAAGGAATGAGCAAAGTCTCCAAGCAATATGGGACTATGTGAAAAGACCTAATATACGCTTGATTGGTGTACCTGAATGTGACAAAGAATGAAGTCAAGCTGGAAAATACTCTCCAGAACATATTCAGGAAAATTTTCCTAATTTAGCAAAGCAGGACACTATTCAACCCCAGGCAATGCAGAGAACACCACAAAGATATTCCTCAAGAAGACCAACCCCAAGGCACATAATTGTTAGATTCACCAAGATCAAAACGAAGGAGAAAATATTAAGGGCAGCCAGGGAGAAAGATCAAGTTACCCATAAAGGTAAGCCTATTAGGCTTACAGCAGATCTCTCGACGGAAACCCTACAAGCTAGAAGAGAGTGGGGCCGGTATTCAATATACTTAATCAACAGAACTTTCAGCCCAGAATTTCATAT